ACTAGCTAGAGTGAAACAACGAAATACTGAGTGGAAGCCTGATTTCTCCATGTTTAGTTCAGCATCACTTTACTAAGAATAGTTATCCCCCTGCAAATCCTGTGAATGTCTTTATTTGGTGGTGTTTGAGAAATTTGCAGCCTTCTCCTCTATTTGGCATTGTTTCTTTTACAAATTTCTTTAGAAAAGAGAATCTAATAGTTGTCACATTCACAGCCACAAGCCTCACTCTGCTGTACAAGGGCAAAAAATGTTACACACTGGGGATTGTGATTGTTTCGTACTCAGTGCTCAGAGTTGGAAATATCAAAGTTCAAATACTTTTAGTAGAATTTTAGTAGAATTTTCAGGTATCAATATTGTACTTGAGTATTTATTTTTCTGACAGTTTTTTATATTTATTCCCTACATTTTACCACAAATATCTGTATTTTCTACTCCTTACATCTTCAAAATAGGCTCATTACTTTAAGTTTAACACATTTGAGGGAAGTTTTTATTTCCCAGCACTGTGTGCCTTCAAACATCAAATCGATTTGGGCCTAAATTGAGGGAATAAGAATGCATAAATGGCAATGTTACTGATGTAGCCTCAATCACTGCTTTTTATCCAATCCAATATCACGTCAAATCATGAAGTCCACTGTGTCGATTTCATGTTTTAGAGAGGCATATTTTGTTTCAAGTCAACATGAAAACAATCACGGGAAAGTGTCCCTTTATTTACCAAGTATCATACAGGCCGTTCAGAATAACCTCAGCTTTCAATATCCGGCAGTCATTTTACATTAATGTAATATTATGACAATGGAACAACAGTTTAAAGTGGCAAAAAACTGACTGTTTTTTCAGATTTATAGTTAAGTGGAAACTGATATTCAACATAAACAAAATGTAAGGCAGTGCAACACCAAACAGAACAGAATGATACAGACACAACAGTGCAATAAAATGTGCAAAAGACTGAGTATTGTGCAAAAAGTAACTAGTTGTATGAATGTGTGTGTGTGTGTGTGTGTGTGTGTGTGTGTGTATGTGTGTGTGTGTTTGTGTGTAGGTGTGTGTGTGTGTGTGTGTGTGTGTATAAGATTCTTGGTAGTGACGTGTATGAAGGTATGCGTGTGTTTTTGTCATTCCCGTCACTGAGTGTTCAGCAGTCTGACGGCCTGGGGGAAGAAGCTGTTTCACAGTCTGGCAGTGAGGGCCCGGATACTCCGGTACCTCTTGCCAGAAGCCAGCAGGGTGAAGAGTGCGTGAGAGGGGTGTGTGGGATCCTCCACATTGCTGGTGGCTTTGCGGATGCAGCGAGTGTGATAGGTGTCTGTGATGGCTTCAATAATCTTCTCTGCTGATCTCACCATTTGTTGTGGGGTATTGTGGTTTGATACGCTGCAGTTACCATATCAGACAGTGATGCAACTGCTTAGAATGCTCTCGATAGTCACTCTGTAGAAGGGGGTGAGAATGGGTGGTGGGAGATGGGCTTTTCTCAGCTTCCGCAAGAAGTAGAGACGCTGTTGGGCCTTCTTAATTATGCAGCTGGTGCTGAGGGACCGGGAGAGGTTCTCCGCCAAGTGAACATCAAGGAATTTGGTGCTCTTGACGACTTCCACAGAGGATCCATTGATGTTAAGTGGACAGTGATCTCTCCATTCTCTCCTGAAGCCAACAACCATCTATTTTGTTTTGTCCATGTTCAGAGACAGATTGTTGACTCTACACAGGTCCGTTAGCTGTTGCACCTCCTCTCTGTATGCTGACTCATCGTTCTTACTGATGAGACCCACCACAGTCGTGTCATCGGCGAACTTGATAATGTGGTTTGAACTGTGCATTGCTGCGCAGTCGTGAGTTAGCAGAGTGAACAGCAGTAGGCTGAGCACACAGCCCTGAGGGGCTCCAGTGCTCAGTGTGGTGGTGTTGGAGATGTTGTTACCGATCTGGGCTCTCTGAGGTTTCTCTGTCAGAAAGTCCAGGATGCAGTTTCACAGGGAGGTGTTCAGGCCCAGCAAGCTCAGTTTTCCAATCAGGTGCTGAGGAATGATTGTGCTGAATGCTGAACTGAAGTCTATGAATAGCATTCGTATATATGTGTCTTTATTGTCCAGGTGGGTGACAGCAAGATGTAGGGTGGTGGCGATGGCATCATCTGTTGACTGGTTTGGGCGATATGCAAACTGCTGTGGGTCCAGCGTGGGTGGCAACCTGGTCTTAATGTGAGTCATGACGAGCCTCTCAAAGCACTACATCATGATGGGAATCAGTAAAATAAGACGGCAGTCATTGAGGCAGGACTCTGGGGACTTCTTTGGCATAGGAAAGAGCGTGGTGGCCTTGAAGCAAGTTGGGACAACAGCAGTGGTCAATGAAGCGCTCACCCAGGGATGTTATCTGGACCAGCAGCTTTCTGAGAGTTAACTCTGCAAAGAGACACAGAACCTGACACAACAACACGCCATTCTGAGTGTCAAACTGTTCATAGAAGTTGTTCAGCGCATCTGGTAGGGAGGCGTCACCCTCATAGGCAGTTGTCGTCTTCCTGTAGTTGGTGATGGCCTGGATGCCGTGCCACATGATGGAGTTACAGTCATTTAAACAGCGCTTGTAAAATGGGCCTGCCGGCAAGTCCGTGGTAAATAAAGAGTTATATTAATAGTTATATTAGCCACCTAGCTTAATTGTTTCTGGCTATTATGTACTTGTATGTATGTACTTCATAAATTTATCCGTAAGTTTGATCGTGCTACTTCTATAGCTAGCTAGCTCTGAAGAGGAGCAGGAATAAAGGGAGTACAGCTTTTTAAGTAGGAGCCCATTTTAGATGCAATATTTCTGTGAGATTAACAAATAAGAGCAAACACACAAACTGGTTCTATGCAGTTAATCTCCTAGTTTGTCTGATAGCTAAAAGTAAAGCTGCTGTAATTCAAAGTGAGAAAAGAGTGAGCGATAACTCAGAGATGGAGAGAGATGTAAGAAAGTCAGGAGAGGAAGAAGAGAGGTTATATTTAAAAGCAAGGACTGCTCAGTAGCATTTGATAAACTGGAAATTTAAAGCTGTGTTTTGATGAATATTTTTGTATTGTGAAAAGGTCCTGTAAAACAAACTGAGGTATGCTAAATTTGTGTTGTTCAACAGTTGCATGAAAATACAAGGCAGTGTTGTGAAGGATAAACAGGTTAGTTTGCTGTTCTGTGGTGAATATGCAATAATGCATTGTGTTTTGTGACTGTTGCACAGCCATGGTCAGAGTTGATTAACAGATATCTCCGTGTTGATGTTGTACTTGTATCATCAAAATAATGTTGCTCCAGGATCAACACCGCAACTGACCAATCAAGTTGTTGTGATGTAATAGGGGAAAAAGAAAAAAATGCTCTTGTTTATATAAAACTCTCTTTCTGAAAACAAATGGTAAGCATCTCAAGTGTTTTCTTTATATACTTGTGCAATATAACAAACATATTGTGATTCTTTCCCTCATGCTGAGCCACTGCAACCAATCTTAGAGTTGCCAAACTTTGCATAGCTATAGATGCAACACTGTCTGTGAGGCCGGATTTAAGAAATAGGTGCTTAAAATTAACATTTTTAGAATATGTTTAGCGCCATCTTGTGCTAGTACAGAACATCACATCACCGAGTGAAGGTTGGTTGAGGTTAATGAACTTACATAAACTTTGCTAACTAGTGATAGAACCGATAACTCAGTGGAAAACAAGGGGACTAAAACTAACAAGCACTCTGTACTGGCCCTGACACCATTAGTTTTACGTTAAGAAATTTAGGATATACTGTCTCTTACTAAGTCTCTTACTTTCTTTCAAGATAAAGCAGGTCTTTAATTTGCCCCAAATTAAAACCAGAGTCGCTTTAACTTTCTGAGAGGGTTTTTTTTTTTTTTTTGCTGTTTTTTTAATCTTCTGCATCATACATTTTATTAATGTCTGTGATTAATTTACAAGCTAACAGGCATCTAATTTCACAGGTTTCTGTCTCATCAGTGAGTCATAATTGAAGCTATTAGTCAGAATTATGACAGTTAATCAGCTAGTTTAAATAAAGATCTGATTGATGTTTTGTTTGATTTCATTAGCATATTTTCATCACTCCAAATATAACACATCAAAGATGTCCACGGGCATTTTGTGCGACAGTTTTTGTTTCTTTGCCTTCGTTTAATGTTGACAAAACATAAAAATGATATAGCAAAATACACAAATTCACCCTGTACCTGTACATCTTTTTTACTGAGAGAAGTTCAGGAGACAATTTATCAGTTCACATTATTTTAGGTAACAATTTAGAGATTCAGGATGCACAACCGTGGAGCTCTCAGTGTCAGGACACAGAGAAGTGGAGAACAATTCGTAATTCAAAGCATATATTAGACACATTGAAACAGAAAATATTTGTGGGGAAAGGCCCTGGTTTAGGCTCCCTGATTTGTTCTCCTAGTAGTCCTTCCTCATGGCAATGGTCTTAGACCTCCAGTCAGGGATCCTGTCCTGTGTGACTCCTCCCTACTCTACAGTTGTTGTTGTTACTGTAGTTTCATTTCCATGCAGACGTCAGCTTTACCAACAACTATCATCACTACTGGAACAGGATGTTATCATACACCCACACACAGCTTGTAAGCGTTTAACAGTTTCACTTTCAACATTTCACACTCCTATGTCTTAGTCAACCCTTCACACTGTGAGGGTAATGCTTTATCCTTCTAACAAGGAGTGTTTCCACAAATTACCACACGCATTCAGTTCCTTCAAGTAACTCTTTTACACGGGTTGGGAACTCCAGGCCTCAAGGTCCGATGTCCTGCAGGTTTTAGATATCACCCTGGGTCAACACACCTGAATCAAATGATTAGTTCATTACCAGGCGTCTGCACAAGTTCCCCACCCCTCCTCTATTAAGTGAAGAAAAGGTTAACCCTCATTGTAGGCATTCAATCAGAATGGAAGAAATTAATAAAGGCCGAGGTCATCTGATCAAATTTGATTTCATGTTTTTATTTACAAAAATTTCAGAGAGAACAACTTCCACAAGATGATGTGTCATAAATGACAAATTTATTGTATTTATATTAAAACCAGTTATTGGTACAGGTCAGTTAGAGGTATAGGTCAATAGGTACAACACTGTGGAAAAGTCTTGAGCTACCCCTTGTTTCCTTATATTTTGAAAAAGAAGATGGACAAGGGCAGAGGTTAATTGAAGTATGTGCAAATATGCATGAAAATACAGCATAAAAGGCAAAACACGAGTGTCCATAATTCTAACAACAGCAAAAGTTAATATTTTACAATACCACAATTATTCTTTAATACACCTTAAATACTCTTTAAGTAATCTTCAGGAATAGTTTCCATGTTTCTTCAAAACTTCTTTGGATGTTGACTCTCAGAATGATCCCACATCTCTACGGGATGTTAGTGCAGTCTGAAGATCACACTGCTTTCTTTACAGCCACTGAGATAAGTGAGTAATACTGCATGTAAACCACATGATGGAGGTAGAGACTAATAAAAGCACAGTAGGGGAGTCTTTCATGAAGGCTCTATACAGTGGATTGTGAACTGCGTGAACCACCGCTCTGACTCACTGTAGTTTTAAGCAGCACCAGCCTCCGTCTGTGGTAAATGGTTAATTCCACGTGTATAAGCACACAACACCATATATCCTCCTCTCCCTGATTCCGGAGTATAATTCCTAGAATAAGGCTAACAAGCCTCTCCAACCTTTAATGTGGACATGCTCTCCATTTCATCTCTGTCATGAAATGGAGAGAATCTTATCTGAGATGTGGTTTGGTTCAAGATTTTTGAAAATACTTTATAAAATAACCACTGAGTTCCTCCCACCATGTTGACTTTGGTCCTCCACCCCAGCCTTTGTGGGTTTCCTATGAGGCCTCTGATTTGCTACCGGAGTCCAAACAGGTGATGCAGGCTGGTTGAAGTGGTAGCTCCGAGGTTGGGTAAATGTGATTAATTTTTTAATGTGGGCCTTGATGAGTCCTCTAAACTTCTCTGTGGCAAAATAATAAACTACAGGATCCAAAATGCAGTTGAGGCCCATAAGAACCAGAGTGATCTGATGAGCGTCGTTCAGCAACTGACGAGTGGTCTTGCTGTATTTCACGTGGCCGAAGCCGTCTTCGATCTCCAGCACTGCCAGAACCCAGGGGCCTTGAACTATGTGGTGTGGCAGGAAACACAGAACAAACACTCCCACCACTGCCAGCAACATCTGGAGAGCCCTCCGTTTTACTCCTGTGGGCCGTTTGAATATGGATGTCACAGTGGGCTTTTTAGACTGTGTTCCTGAAGACTGACTTTCCGACTGAGGAGAATTTTTACAAACTAGAATTCGAGCAATAAGGAAATTGCACATCACAATGAGTAAAAAGACAACAAAAAACAATCCAATTATTAGAAAATGAGTGACAGCCACTTTTTTCTTCTTGTCATTAGTTTCTCCCTGGTATCCCTCAAAACAGCGACGTATGTCAGTGTTGTTTTTACGGTGCACGTTGATCCCTGGACTCACCAGAAAAGGAACAGACATTGCCACAACAAACACCCAGATACAAATACAAACAATGATTCCACGAATTCTGTGGTTTGACGAGGCTGCGTCCAGAGGCCGAGTCACCGCCCAGCATCTGTTGATGCTGATGGCTGAAAGGAAGAGGATGGTGCCGTAGGTGTTGATGAAAAAGAAGGTGCCTGTCAGCCGGCACATGACGTCTCCATAAACCCAGTCTCCCTCACGCATATAGTAGTCAATCCAAAAGGGAAGAGCACACACAAACAGAAGATCAGCGATGGTCAAGTTGGTCATGTAGATGTGAATTTCTCCCATGGCCTTGGCTTGACTAAGACAGCGCAGGACAAACAGCACGTAGAGGTTAGAGATGAAGCCCAGGATGAAGAAGATGATGTAGAAAACCGGGATGAGCACATAACGAAACGGGGAGTCCAGGAACAGACTCTCAGTGGTATTAATGGTTGTGGACTCCACACTACTCATTGTTGTCACAGTAACTGATTGAGTCATCTTTGTCTGTGGGAGAGAAAATATATTATCATCAGTACAGTGTCCTGTGACAGATGAGCAGAGTTTTGATGCAGATGACAAAGGTAGCGTACAATGGAGGGAAAAGCCTTTGAGAATAACTTATTTTTGTTGTCCTTCCATTGAAGGCAGGTATAATAAATAAAAGCAACAAATAAATAAAAACAACAGTAAATGACTACAATAGGTTTAAAATAATGAAAGTAACAAGTAACAACATTTTTCCTGCTTCAAGGACTAAGTTGTGTATCAGTATTTATTTGTAAAAATGTATTTACCAGTCAAATATTGTGTCCCTTTCATCACCTTTTTAGCCATTTAAGTAATTTCAGATGTATTAATGTATACGCCAATCAGGCATAACATTATGCCACCTGCCTAATGTTGTGTTCCTCCCCCTTTTGCTTCTAAAACAGCCATGAACCATCCAGGCATGGAGTCCACTAGACCCCCAGAGGTGTGTATCTGGCACCAAGACAGTAACAGATCTTTGAAGTCCTGGATGAAGTCATGGATCTGACTTGTTTGTCCTGGAGAACTCACAAGATGCATGACTGGATTGAGATCTGGTTAATTTTGAAGCCAAGCCAATACTTCAAACTTGTTGTTGTGCCTCTCAAACCACTGCTGAACCATTTTTGTTTTGTGGCAGGGCGCGTTATCCTGTGTTGGGATGGAATTATTTGAAGTGCCTCGGTTCTATGCTTTATATTAACTAAAATGCCATATAACCATATAGTGTGGTATTAAGTGGACACAGCCCTGAAAATAAAGGCATTAGACTACGTGTCCTTGGGGGGTAGAATGCTGTAGACTCTTGCTCACGCTTGGCTGGGAGAGAGTACATAACGGGGACCATCTTCTAGTGGAAAGTTACTGAGACACTGTTGTTCAGACTAGAGAGGGACCAGCAGGCACCTAGTTTTGAGAAAGGTTGTTGATTTATGTGTGTCAATGTGCTGCTGGGACTGCCCCAGTATATTTTGAGGTTGGAGGCTGAGCTATGAAAATCCCCAGGTACATGTAATAAAATTTATTGATTGTTTATTTTGAGAAAAACAGGAATGGGATATTACACTGTTTTATGATGCATTCTACTACTGATTTATAAGAAATGCTGTTTGTGTAGAATCATGACCTTATTTCTCTGATTAGGAAGAACAATACATACTGCACAAGAAGCCAAGGTTGTAACTTAGGCTCACTGAGAGAGAGAAAGAATGTGAATGCTTAGCTATAAGAATGTGAGAAACGGTCAGGCACTTTGAGATTTTGCCGATTTTTCTGTTTCTGTGAAAGGTCTACATGGTCTGCAACAATGTTTAGGTAGGTGGTGCATGTCAAAGTAACATACCATACCATACCATACCACCTTTATTTATAAAGCACTTTAACATAAAACCAGAGTTCACAAAGTGCTGTACATGCTAATAGCATAAGTAAATAAAAATTAAAATGAGATAAGATAAAATAAAAAACTAAAATAAATTGAAACATGTTAAAACAAATAGAGTCAACCCCTCTAATCAATGCCAAAGGCTTCAGCGAATAAATATGTTTTAAGAAGACTTTTAAATTCAGAAAGAGAAGAGGCCTGCCTAACATGCAAAGGTAGATCACTCCACAACTTTGGAGCAACTACAGCAAAAGCACGATCACCTTTAAATTTATACTTAGTTTTCGGTACCTTAAGGAGCTGCTGATTGGCGGACCTAAGGGAACGGGCAGGT